TCAACCCCTGCACCGCTGCGGGGGGGGGCAAGAGAGCGGGGGGCGCCCTGGGTCTCAACCCCTGCACCTCTGCGGGGTGCGATGGGGTGAGCTTGGCTGCTGAGAACTGCCCCCAGGGGTCCAGTGCGAGCCGAAGAGCCGCAGGGAGGCGTTAATGCCACAGGTGGCCTCTTGGTTGGAGCAGGCCCCTGGGCCCAAAGGGGGCTGGAAAGAAGGGCCCGCCTGCCCCCCAACTGTGACCTCAGCATGGGAGGAGCCCTCCCCCCAACCCTTGGCTTCCCGGCCCCACGGTGCTTTGGGCTCGGGGTCAGCTCTGCCGCCCTGCAGCTCCCTCTTCCCTGCAGCTGGCCCCACATGCCCGGGGGAGGGGAGGGGAGATGGCGGGGAGCAGCCGCAGCAGCCCCAGGCTGGAGGCCATGGAAGCTTGACCTAGGGCTCCGTGCCTTGTTCCCACCCGTCAGCCTGGGGAGGGGCCTGATCCCCCGGCACTTCCCACCCAGAGGCTCTTTGGGGGTGAGCGGAGGGTAGTGCCAGGAACCCCCCTCCGCAGCCCCCAGCACCGCTCCTGGCTCGTGCCGCCCCACAGGTCACACCAGGGCTCTTGCCCCGGCCCAAGGGCTGGGCTGTCCCCAGGGTGCCCCTGACGTTCTGCTCTGAGCCGGGAGCCCTCGAGGGGGGAGAGGATGAGGGTGACCCCAGCAGTGCCTGTCCCTGCAGAACCCAGCCCACATGCTGCAAGAGGACCCCCCTCAGCGCCGGCCTTCACCGCAGGCAGATCCTAAGCCCGGCTGGAGGGGGACAAACCAGACACAGCCCTGCTGTGAGCCAGGGGCCCCGTGCACACACAAGCCCCTCGTGTCGGACGCAGGGCACATAGAGACGGCTGCAACGGTCACACGCGCACACCGCCCCTCTCCGGGGTAACACACAGCACTGGTTAACACACACACCACCCCTCTCCGGGGTAACACACAGCACTGGTTAACACACACACCACCCCTCTCCGGGGTAACACACAGCACTGGTTAACACACACACCACCCCTCTCCGGGGTAACACACAGCACTGGTTAACACACACACCACCCCTCTCCGGGGTAACACACAGCACTGGTTAACACACACACCACCCCTCTCCGGGGTAACACACAGCACTGGTTAACACACACACCACCCCTCTCCGGGGTAACACACAGCACTGGTTAACACACACACCACCCCTCTCCGGGGTAACACACAGCACTGGTTAACACACACACCACCCCTCTCCGGGGTAACACACAGCACTGGTTAACACACACACCACCCCTCTCCGGGGTAACACACAGCACTGGTTAACACACACACCACCCCTCTCCGGGGTAACACACAGCACTGGTTAACACACACACCACCCCTCTCCGGGGTAACACACAGCACTGGTTAACACACACACCACCCCTCTCCGGGGTAACACACAGCACTGGTTAACACACACACCACCCCTCTCCGGGGTAACACACAGCACTGGTTAACACACACACCACCCCTCTCCGGGGTAACACACAGCACTGGTTAACACACACACCACCCCTCTCCGGGGTAACACACAGCACTGGTTAACACACACACCACCCCTCTCCGGGGTAACACACAGCACTGGTTAACACACACACCACCCCTCTCCGGGGTAACACACAGCACTGGTTAACACACACACCACCCCTCTCCGGGGTAACACACAGCACTGGTTAACACACACACCACCCCTCTCCGGGGTAACACACAGCACTGGTTAACACACACACCACCCCTCTCCGGGGTAACACACAGCACTGGTTAACACACACACCACCCCTCTCCGGGGTAACACACAGCACTGGTTAACACACACACCACCCCTCTCCGGGGTAACACACAGCACTGGTTAACACACACACCACCCCTCTCCGGGGTAACACACAGCACTGGTTAACACACACACCACCCCTCTCCGGGGTAACACACAGCACTGGTTAACACACACACCACCCCTCTCCGGGGTAACACACAGCACTGGTTAACACACACACCACCCCTCTCCGGGGTAACACACAGCACTGGTTAACACACACACCACCCCTCTCCGGGGTAACACACAGCACTGGTTAACACACACACCACCCCTCTCCGGGGTAACACACAGCACTGGTTAACACACACACCACCCCTCTCCGGGGTAACACACAGCACTGGTTAACGCACACACCGCCCCTCTCTCTCCAGGAGTAGCACAAAGCTGTCTGCGTTCCCTGGCTTCATTCCTATGATGAGCTCCGCAGGCCTGGTCCCTCAGGGGCCCGGCCCCTCCCACGCCTGGCGGCTCAGGCTTTCACTCTGAGTTTTTGCTGATTTCTCCTCGCTCTGCACCCGCGCTACCCATTCAAGCGGGGGGCCTCCCCTCCCCTCCCCTCCCCAGTGGCTGAGGCAGAGTTGCTGATGCCTGTAGCTGCTTGGTGACCTGGTCTCTCAGGTGTTGGGGGGGGGGATCGTTTGGTTTTTTTAACCCCAGTGGTTGTGGCACAATAAAGCAAGATGAAAACGAGTCTGCACCCCTGGCCGCCTGCGTGTGTTGTGTCTGTTGCCTCCAGGCGGTGGTCTTGATCCTGCAAAGGGGCAGGGGGCATCCCCCCCCCCCCATCACCTCTGCTTTTATTCCCGTAATGTAGCCTACCAAAATGTAGCCATCAGGGTTTCCAGGGGCCCGAGGCAGCGGAGCCTGGCCCCTCTCAAGCATGTGGAGGTGGAGCCAGGGGACTTCCCGTTTTGAAGGATTCGCCATTGACACAGCACGTTTGGGAGCCAGCAGTGGGATTTGTTTCGGTTCGATGGCCATTCTAAACAAACATCATTTGGGTAACAAACCCTATTTTCAAAACTCAGCAAGTTCAACCCCCCCCCCCAAAAGGTGTTTTGGGCTAAAGGGAATGTTTGGATTTTGAATGTTTGAAAGGGTTTGCATTTCCCCAAGGGAAAAACTCGTTCACCCTGCGGCACTGAGATGTTTCAGCACAAAAGGAGCCAGTTCGGTTCCATTTTTTTTCCCAGTCACAACACGTGGGTAAAATGGGTTCAGATGCTGCAGCTGTTTTGGGGTTCCTGTATCTGCACTTTTCTCCAGCAATAGGCGATGGCTGGGGAAGGGCTTGCCCCCTTGCGGGAGGAGGCACGGTGAGGGGCTCCGCAGGGCACAGAGCTGTGGTGGAAAACGCACCAGGAAACCTTTACATCTCTCCTGCTGGGTCCATGCCAGCTAGATCTGGGCTGCTCGGCTGCAGCCGTGGAGGTTGGTTGCTTGTCTACACCTGAATCCTATTCCTGGTGCTGAGATGGTGTGAAATTAAAGTGGAGTAATTAATTAACCCGCTTAATGCCTCAAGTAGACACACTGCATCTGGACTCAGAATACCTTGCTCTGGTTTCGCTGCCTGGCTGCCAAAGTGGAGCAAGCAAACGCAGAACATGACAGGCTGTGATGGAGACTGGTAGAGCTGGTACTGAGGAAAAGAGCTGATTGGCCAGATGGGCTGTCAGTTGCCCAGAGACTAGGGCAGGCATCCCTTCCCAGCAAAGGATTGTGGGTAGGGAATCCCTCTATAAAACTGGCAGCCACTGAGCTGGAGGAAGGAAGGTCTGTGAAGAACTCTGGCTGGTGACATCACAGTCGGGACGCTCCATTTTTTAAAAAATAAATCTTAATTTTTTTTTTTGGCACTGAAGCGTCACAGGGCAGCTTTGATCCCCCCTCCCCTCCCCGCACAGTCTGCAAGAAAACGTCTCCCACTCAGCATTGGGCCTTCCAGATGCCTCCGGGAGGCTGAGCCACCCCATAGCCCAAGGCCCAGGCCAGGAAACCCAGGGTGGGGAGCGCTGGGAACCAGACGCAGCCACAATTCAGTGCTGAGACGGCCCAGTCCCTCGGCCCCAGCATGCGGCGTGGCCAAGAGCACCACGTCCTTACACCGGGGCGGGAATGGGCGTGGCCGTCAAGCTCTTGTGCACCCCCTCCCTGGGCGTGCCAACCCCTTTGTGTGTTTAGAATTAATGGGGGGAGGGGGGCTGGAGGCTACCACAGCTTTGCCTTCTGCCACAATTCAGTGCTGAGACGGCCCAGTCCCTCGGCCCCAGCATGCGGCGTGGCCAAGAGCACCACGTCCTTACACCGGGGCGGGAATGGGCGTGGCCGTCAAGCTCTTGTGCACCCCCTCCCTGGGCGTGCCAACCCCTTTGTGTGTTTAGAATTAATGGGGGGAGGGGGGCTGGAGGCTACCACAGCTTTGCCTTCTTGCTGCTGGCCCGGGGACAGTCCATGCTCCCTGAGGCAGGGCCAAGGGCTACCTAGAGCTGGAGGCGAAGAGGCAGAGCTACACGGCCCCATGGTGTCTGCGCCGATGAGATCCCAGTGCTCAGAGCCGGTCCAGGCAATGTGGTGCGCTACTGGACTGTACGCACTGGTGAGCTGACCTGGTCCAAGCAGGACGGGTCAGCGCTGCATGATACGGACCAGAACTGAGCCGGTCCCTGCACAAAGCGAGGTGCAATACTAGGTTGTATGGCCTGGGGCTCTGGCCTGGTCCAGGCAGGGAGGGTCAGCGCTGCATGATCTGGACCAGAACTGAGCCGGTCCATGCAGAAAGCGAGGTGCAATACTAGGTTGCATGGACCGAGGCCTTAGCCTGGTCCAAGCTGGGAGTGAGGGACCGCATTATATGGTCCACACTGCAGGGGCTGAGGATGCCACAGGATAAGGGCCAGTGCTCTGATCTCACGGGCTGGTGATGGGAGCCAGGGAGATCCTGCTGGGTCTGGCTGCTGGCTGTTTGGGACTATTCCCTGCGGAGACTGGCAACATCCCTCCTGCTCTCTTGGACACCCAGGCGAGCACAGCGCCCCTCAGTGCCGGGACAGCACGGCAGGCCGGACGGCAAAGGTGAAGAAGCTGCTGTCCTCTGGGGCCTCCAGGGAACTGGCCATCCAAGGGGCCCTCGGGTCGGTGTCGTGGGTGCTCCCTTGGGCTGTGTCCAGGTGCGGAGCCCGCTGGTGCAGGGAATACTCAGCCATGAGCACCCTGGCCCTGGCCGCCTGCGCGTGGCTCTCCAGCAGCGTCTCAATGTGGTTCAGGAGGGCTGAGAAGAACTCCGGGACACCCTCGTAACCTGTGGAGGCCACTAGAGCGTCAGCCAGGCTGTCCCAGGGTGCCCCGGGACTCGTCCAAACACTACGTGCTAAACAGCTGCCCTGCCCCATCAGCCAGGCTGTCCCAGGGTGCCCCGGGACTCGTCCAAACACTACGTGCTAAACAGCTGCCCTGCCCCATCCCAGAGGTGGCTGCATCTTGGTGCCGGGTGAGGGAGCCCTGTATCAATAGCTGCCCCGCCACACCCCAGAGGTGGCTGCAGCTCTCTGTGCACTCTCTGTTGAAACATCGCTTGTGCCCTGCTCATTTCGACTCCTTGCAATGCAGTGCCCCCGGGTGCACCACTGGGAGACAGAGGCCTGTATCGACGGAGGGACTAGCACCCATTGCTGGGCCCCTCCCACACTCGTAGCCACTCACCTGGGAAGGTGTTGACGTCTATGGCCGCACACCGCCCTGACTGCTTGTGCCGGGTGAGGGAGCCCTGTAAAAACAGCTGCTCTGCCCCACCCCAGAGGTGGCTGCATCTTGGTGCCGGGTGAGGGAGCCCTGTATAAACAGCTGCTCTGCCCCACCCCAGAGGTGGCTGCAGCTCTCTGTGCACTCTCTGTTGAAACATCGCTTGTGCCCTGCTCATTTCGACTCCTTGCAATGCAGTGCCCCCGGGTGCACCACTGGGAGACAGAGGCCTGTATCGACGGAGGGACTAGCACCCATTGCTGGGCCCCTCCCACACTCGTAGCCACTCACCTGGGAAGGTGTTGACGTCTATGGCCGCACACCGCCCTGACTGCTTGTCCACAATCAGATCCACCCCAAAGAGCGAGAGCCCCAGGCTGGTGCGCAGGCCCCGCACAGCCCGGCTCCCAGCCCTGTCGGAAGGGGGGGGGGGCTCCAGCATCATCTGTCTGAGAAAGGGACAGAGAACAGCCTGGGATTGGGGGAGTCACGGGGAAGGGGCCCCAGGGCGTTCCCGGGAATGACGCTGAGGGAGGAAAGGTCTGGGCGAGGGACACGTGCCTGCTGCTAGGAC